CTGTGGAATAAGAGAGTTAATATTTTAAAGGAATATTAGGTCAAAATGTGAACTTTAAGCTCTTTTTGGGCAACAATTCTGCTGAGATGAGAATATCAGTGCACCTGGGCACACCCTGAACCAGGTAATTGGGCTGTGCGAGGGAGGGAGGGAGGGAGGGAGGAAGGAAGGAAGGAAGGAAGGAAGGAAGGAAGGCTCCAAATTCAGACTCTGGAGTGTAAAACATGCAGCATATGGTCAGGCTGGCAGAAGAGCCTGATGGTGGCCACAAAAACAGACTGCAGTGCAGTGTCAGCAGGAGCACCATGCCAAGTACTGCTCCCACTGCCAAATCCCAAAAAAGTCCCTATTAAACACTGCCTACAGCCCCACACCAAAACAAAGGGCTCCCAGAGATCCCAGCCATAAGGGGGTGCAGGAAAGGGCTTAGCCCTAAACAAGCTGCTCCCTTTATTGGACTGCCATCAATATTTTTCCATTTAAAAAGCCAAGCAACTGCCCTGATGGCAGTGATCCTTATCAGCTAAACTCCCTTCCTGCTATCAGACTCATGAAGGGATCAGATCGAGATCTGTGGTAATTAAAAATGAAGGAGATCAAATTAGTAAAGCGTGTTCCCAACTGTCAGGAGTGACTCAGAGATCTGGATTCTGCTGAAGGAGGCTCTCTGTCTGCCACTCCCCCCTTCATGTATGCACCCGACCTCCAGAACAGTATTGGGAAGATGCCCAGAGGGGATACCTTAAATGGGAAGCACAGGAGAGCCAGAATAGCTCTAGGAATAATAAATATTACCTTTCCCCTGGCCAAAATCTTTCTGGACTTTCAATCCATCTCTTCACAGGAAGCCTTGCAACCATAATGTGGCAGCATTAAAAATGTGATTCAGCTCTGAAGAAACAGAAACCTGAGAGAGGTGCCCAAGCAGTCTGGTGTGGCCGTGACACAGGGGACACAGGTGTGGCCAGCCCCACAGGGTGACCACTGAGGTACCACACCACATTGAATGGGAAAACACAGGCTGCAGGGTCTGAAAGTGGTGATGATGAAAGTGGTGACTGCAGCCCCATAGAGCAAGGAGAACAGAATAAAAATAGAGGGGAGTGAAATACAGAACAGGGCACGCTGCAACTGCAGAGCTGCTACTGCAGCTTCCCTCACATATCTGGGTCACTGCATAGCAGGACCTCCTACAGCACCACAAAAATCTCTCATGTGAGCCTCCTCCTTCCTTCCCACCTGCCACCTACATGGGAGAGATGTGGCGGCAGGAGGGGTGCAGGAGGGGAAGGTGGATCATTGTGCTGCTCTGTGCTCATCGAAAGAAAAAAACATAAAAATCCTTCTCCTAGTAACCAGGTCATAAGGCAGTCAAAATATGACAGCCCTGTCTACTATGCACCCCATGACTGCTTTTCAGAGCACACTGTCTTCTCTGCAGGTAAGCTGTGCTGATGAAGTTTCTGAAGCCTCAAAAACAGGGTAGAATCCTGGCAGGTTTCGGAGCCTACAGCAGTTTCAGGGAATGCTGAGGCTGTGCTCAGCAGGACACAGTCAGCTGTGATTTGCAGGTCACTGTGTGCTTCAAAATGCAGCAGAGCTCAGAGACATCCAACCTAATTTTAAATGGTTTCATTGAAATGAAAAGCAGTAAAACACAACATCCTGAAAATGAGCACATCTCAGGACACTGACTGAGCACTGATGCCACAGTTCAATTGCTCCAGATATGGGAAGCACCTGAGCTAACCCAATTTTAGCAATCTCAAGTGTCTTTCCACTCCACTGGAGGCCACAGTCTAGACATATTTACAAAGCAGGAGACATTTAACATATTGTTATGCCATCTTTCAAATTTCTAGTTCAGGCACAATTTAAAGAGAGCGACTGCTGAGCATTTGGAAGAAGGAGAGGTTGGCACAGTATTCTCAGGATTCAAAATTAATGACAGCCTGCACATCACTTCTCTTTTCAGGGAGCAGTAAAGATCAGTGCCAGATATACTCAAGCAGCAGCATTTCTGAGCAGATGAAAACAACTGCAAACATTGTGAAGTCAGTAGTGATGGCAGATGCGTTCAAAAAAAAATCACTTTCTCATACAGATTCCCTCATACCATTGTGTCAAATGAGGGCTCTACCAACCTCAAGGAAACAATAACAAAAAAGCCCTAAGAGCTCATGCTGCTTCACAACTGCAACTGCTATACAAGTGCAACCCTCTCTTAAAAGTAGAGACATAGTTGGCCACAGGGTATATCAGGACTAATAGATGCTGAACAAAATTTCTGAAGATAGCAGACCTCTGGAAAGAGGAAACTGGAAGCTGGAAATTGTCCTACCCACAGTGATTTTACTGTAGGCCCTGATTCTGCAGGTTGAAGGACCACAGAGAAACCCAAGGGGACTCCAGGATTCTACCAAATGCCAAAACAAGCCCCAGTTCCTATGTCCTGGCATAGGGTAGGACCTGCAAGATGTGAGAGAATCGGAATAAATTTGTAGAATGTCCAGAAAGACTCAGCTCAGAGGATATGGCATAGTTCTGGCATTTCTTGATAGACCATGGGATAAAATAGCACCAAGCCTAAGAGAGAAGGAGGACATCTCAAGGAGCCATTATTGTGAGTTGTGTGCAGACCCTGGCCAAGCCTGCAGCAGAAATCTCACTCTGCACACATTCCACAAAGAACACAACTTGTAAAAGCCTCAGATACAGAACTTTTTGTTTTCCTTAGGCTGCAGAAATTCATGTTTTTAGTGTAAGATGTCCTTGGTACAGCTGCTGTATTGTCAGATGAGACAGAAGCCACCAGCTTAGAGAATACAAGACAGCAAGGAGATATCTGTCAGCATCTTCAACACAACTCATCATCAACAACAGATCTCCATGTGCAAATTCTAGAGATTTGTGGGGCAGTCACTTCTCAAAAGCTGCCTCTCCCAGTTTATCCCACTGGAGAATGGACTGTCAGCCAAACTCTATGCTGGTTAAAATATTTTACAGCAAAAACCACTATGTTAACCAAGCTGAATGTGAAAGGTGTTCCCTACACATTCCTACAGTGAACGACTGCTGTTGACAGATTCATGTTTTCAGGCTGAAAGATTGGTTGTTCTTTAAGCAAAAGGTGAAAGACTAAGAGAGGAGAAAACCTAAAATTACTTTTGCCATCAGAACATAGCCAGACAGTCCCTGTGCCAGTTAATTTACTACAGACAGAAAAAAAGATAGAACTCCAAGAGCCCAGGGAGATGGGATCTGAGGGGCTCAGCAAAAAAAGTAAAATATCTGATTCTTCTCAAACCAGCTGAATTGCCATGGGATTTGACAGCAACACTACAAGGAGATGAGTTTTCCAGTGTATTTAACCGAATCCTGCATTTTGGTGTATAATATCAGAGCCCATCTGCTGGGAAAAGTTTTCACCTTGTCTAGCAGGGGCCAGATATTGAAAAGCCAGATTCATCTATTGTTATAAACCAGCTGAATTCTCATTGGAATTGATTTAAGACCAGAAACAGGCACAAACAATAGAAGACGAAGAGGGAAGTGAACCATTTGTCAAAATCTGTAGCAGAAAGTTGAGGATAGTGTAATGTTGCTGGACTTAAACCATTTATCACAAGATTTCAGAAGAAATAATGTACGTCACAAAAAAATAGTTATACCTATGTCCTCTAGGGTACACCAAAAGTGGTTGTGCAGCAGAAGAAATAAAACTATCTGCTCCTTTATAGTGCAGGCAGCAAAAAGTGATAGGCTTGAAGTATTACAAGGAAGATTCAACAGCAGAAAAATCTTTAACAGGAGGGAAAATGAAAAGAGCTAAATATATGAGCAAATATCTGGAGAGCTTCTGGGCTCTTCATCACAAGAGGTACCTGAAAACAGTCCAGCCAAACATCAGCCATGAATGACAGTCATTTCAATGACAGCTATTTGGGCTGGAGACTGAATTATGGGATCACCTGAGGTGCTTCTCAGGTCTCTATTTCTGTAATTGAAAAAGCACATTTTAAGGATATACAGAGACTCCACATTTAAAACCCTGGAAACTAAATCCAAATACCAGGAATGACACATTCTCAAATGATGCTTGCAAGCAGTCAGAAACCTTCCAGTGATGAACACTGCTACAGAAAACATTTATGTACCTCACACTGGAACAGAGAGAAATGAAAATAAACCTTAGAGGAGCAGAGTCAGAAGTGAGTAAATCTGACATCTGCAGCAACAGAACTGAAAAGACATAGCCATTGTTCATCCTGTTTGTCAGATACAATAATTTATACCCCCTGGTATAAATTACTGCTAGGATCTTTTGTGGAGAGAATTGCTAGAGCAAGGAAGTGTGATGGGAAAAAACATTCAGACAGGGAAGCTACAAAACAGTGAGGGATGTGTTTGCAGAACAGCAGTTTGTTTATATCCCCCAGATGCAAAGAAGTGTTTCAACATTTAAAAAAATGCAGAATCAAGTCATATGAAAATGCTCCAAGTTGTTAAAAAATAAATGCATAAATAAATAAAATGTAGGAGCTTCATCATAAAAATAACTCAGGTAAATAAGACATTTACCATTCCTTATGCATTCAGCTTATGAATTAGCTAAAATATGGAAATAATGAGAATGTGGACACTATGCAAATATAGCTTGACCACTGGTGGTCACTATTTTGGCCAATACAGCTGTAAATGTCCGGAAAGCTGCAGAACTGGAGAGCAGGGCAGCTCAAGACAAGCAACCACAGCTCTTCAGGGGGTGCTGTCAGGGATGTGCCTTGTCTGTGAATCAGCATGAAAGGGCACCTGCAGCAGACAGTGACTTTCATGAATACACTGCAAAGACAATCCCTGCTCCACATCTCCAGGAGACAGAAAGCTGGGCTGGAGGGGAAGGACAACTCAGGGAAACTCGGGACATCAGTGACAGCCCTACAGATGTAAACAGCACAAAAAGCCAGTAACTGTGTGTAAAATGAGAAGTCACAACATACTGCATTCCTTCCCTCTCACGGGGTCAGGTAGTCCAGAGCACTCCACTGACGGGTTCGGGACAGCCACCCTCCACCTGGAGCCACTGCTGTCGCACTCCGTGTACTCGAAGTGGTAATCTGTCTGCAAGCAATTACAAAGAGTTTCAGTTTCAGCACAACATTTGCATATTAAGATCATTAATCAGGACTGGGATTAGCAAGCTCAGTTGTAATTAAAGCAGAGAGGAAGTGGCTGGCATGCAACACCCTGTGCAGCTTTGATGATTGCCCTGCATCACCACAGAGCCAGCGCGGCTCTCGTCAGATGCTGTGCTGCACAAATGCTAGGGCAGAAGGTGGGATTTGCAAAAGCACTTGATAGAAAGGAGGCAGATTCCACTAGAATTTTTTTTCCCAGTCTCTTAGAGCAGGATTGATGGAAAATTTCTGTCCATCACAGTATCTGATCTACAGCAGCCAAGGAGGCTTCGTCTTTGATCACTGGAGCAAGCCATACTTGAGCACAAGTCATCCCATGATATGGATGTGTAAAATGGATGGAATGATTCCTCCTGCAAGTGCCTTTCCCTCTTTGTCAGTTTCAGAGGAATGCCAGGCAAATTAGGGCAGATAACCCCAGTACTGGGATACCTGAATATGTCATCCAGGGTCAGCTCTGAGGAGTACCTCAAGGCAAAATTGTGGTGTGAAGGGAGATCAGTCCCATTGTCTCTGGGGCTGAGATAAGCCCTGGGCAGACTCAGTGAAAAATAGTAAGAAACTTCCTAGCATTAGCTAGGAAAGAATATTAGCTATTTGTCTTATTAATAGTACTGATTCATATCCCACATAGAATCTAGACTCACATTTAATTACATTTTTAGTTTTGTGTTTATGGCTCTGCTTTCAAATTCATAGCCCAGAAGTTTATGATTAAAATAAAGCTCAGCAACATCTCATTTTTCAACCAGTTTGGGTGAAACTGGCAGAATTGGTGAATTACCTTCTTCAGAGGGAAGAGACCCATGTTCAAATGACATGGCCTGGCAAGCTCCATAAGATGGTTCCATAAAGCCAAAGCCACCTCCAGCTCCCTCTGCGTTAATCAAGGTAAAACATTGATCATGTGCCCACCTGGGGACAAGGGGATAAGGAGGGGACAAGGAGATAACACATCCTAGAAACACTTCTTTCTCTCCACTGGCTACAGAGGAAAACGAGCCAGTTAATTTGGACAGAGTTCTCTCCATTTCCTCAGGGGAACCCCACCTCCAACACTGCACATCCCTTCCTGGTCCACGAAAGCACCACCAAAAAGCATGGTAACGAGGAAAATTTAGCCACAGCCTTGATGTTTGAGAAGCTTTGGGGCAGCCTGGTGTGGTGATCCATAAAGTCTGGCGGGCTCCTTTCTATTTATCTGTCTTCTGCAGGCAGGACTGGCCAAGAACCAAGGAGGGGAGGCAGTGGCTGTGTCTGCAGCCCAAGGCACAAGCACAAGAGTTCTTCAGCTGCTGCAGCTCACTCTCACTACAGCAAATCCCAGCAGAAACCTGCCTCCCTGCCATGGCTGCAGACATCAGGCCCTTATTCTGCTGCCCTAGGAGGAGATACTCTATGCACACAGGGATTATTTGGGGGGCAATCTTCTCCTGTTCCTTTCCTTGCAACTGACATTGTACATGATGGAGCAGAAGAAGGGGGAGCAGTGGGTAAGGGTTGATCCATGCTGGCTCTGATATAGATTAGTTAATTCCTGCAAATATTCAGCTGACTCACATGGAGAAGCCTTGCAATTCTCCTCATTTGCTTGCAGAAAAACAAACAATACTGAGTTTAATACTTCTCCTACTGTTACCATAGCTCTCCAGAGATATTCAAATGTTAATAAAGTTCTACCTAAACATCATCAAAGCCTTTGCTATTTTGCATCCAGGTGCAAATAATAATCTGATTTCTCCGGAATTAATATTTTCATGGCTGAATAATTATCTTTGCATCTCAATCAATGGTTTAGAATTCTAACTCACAGCACAGTGGAAAGGAAAACTATTTGTCTCAAAAAAACCAAACCCAAATCAACAGACAAAATATGATATAACACACTGCAAACTCTACAAATATACTCAATTATAATATGTATTTTCCCCTTTTCATCTCATTATGCAATCTTTCAGGAATACTTTAAAAAATATTCCTGAATCATCTCAGTATGAAATCTGCCATAAGGCAACCAGAATACACAAATGTAGTAGATTCATCTCCTAGTTCATATGACATAAGAAAAAAATGTATCTATTAAACTAAATACGCAAGACTGGAGTGAAGCAAAGAGAAGGATATTCAAGTGCACTGACTCTGACTCCCTTTCAGATCCATTTTCTATTTAATATCAGATTTTTAAAAAATAAAAGTGAGCAGTTTGGTGTCAACAATCCAGGCTGCTCTCATAGCCACCCTCTCAAAGCACACTTCAGTGACGTTGAGCCAGCAATGCAATCCCTCTGCAGCCAAAGCAGCTCCCAAAAGTGGGGCAGCTGTGAGGGACACATCATGCAGTGCAGAACCATCCCTTCTAATGGCTGGATAACAACAGGGATTCAAAATTCAGGACACTAACAAAAATTATAAAGAATAAAAGGCTTCTGCTCTCCTTCCATATTCAGGCAGATGAGTCAAGTTTTCATTCCCTCCATGGAAAACTCTCGGGCTTTAACCTGTCAGGTGAGGTTCCTGGAGAGATGGACCCAACACATGTCACTCTGATCACTCCATCCCTGTGTGCAGCTGTGTCCTCAGAGGAGCCACAAGACTCAAAAGTTTGTACAGCAGAACAAGAGTTCTCTGTGGTCTCTTTCCATTACTTTTCCCTGTACTATGCTCAGTTCCCTTGTGGATGAGTGGTTGGGGTGGGGTTTTTGTTCATTTCTTTTCTATCTGACTTTCAACTCAGCTTTGTGTCTGAAAAACCCATATGGACATGGCATTTATCTGGTAAGTGACTGTATTGAGGACTCTTCAAATTAACTTTTGCCTTTGGTTGTGCACACATGCCTAGCTCCAAAAATCTCTGCCAGCTACCAATGCTACTCTCATAGAATCAGAGAACCACAGAATGGTCTAGGTTGAAACATTAAAATCATCTAGTTCCAACCTTCCTGCAAAAAAAAAAATTGCCCAGAGAAACTGTAGATACCTCATCTATAAAAGTGTTTGAGGCCAGGTTGGATGGGTCTTTGAGCAGCCTGGGATAGTGGAAGATGTCCCTGCCCATGGCAACAGGGTTTGGCATGAGATCTTTAAGGTGCCCTCCCAACACAAACCATTCTGTGATTCAATGATTCTATGAAGCAAACATTGAGGGCCAAGCTGTATCCATCTTTTATTACCATAAATAGAACACAGAATTATTAGAATTATTACAGAATGTATTATTACAGAATACATTTGTGCTGCCTCACAGGCATGGCAGCAGCTCACAACTTCAGCTTTAAATTCACCAGCCTGGCTCCTTATGGTGGGTGAATGTAACTGCAGGAACCTGTGGTTCAGCCACATGATCCAGCACCTCAAACTGCTTCAGCAGCCTTGGTGATGTCCTCAGCCCCCAGCACAGCTCAGGTCCATCCCTGTGAGCTGGAAGCACAGCTTGGCTGCAGCACCCACAGCTTCCATCACACGCAAAGTTTGCAGGAATGTTTACTGGAAATTGCCCATTAATGCTGCTTACAGGGCTCAGAGCCTCTAATCTGCCTCAGGAATTTGAACTCCCAAATATAGAAGGCTGACCATGGAGCCAGCACAGCACCATGGGACACTTACAACACCTTTGCTTCTCATGGAAAAATGCCATTATTTTGGGATTTCCTTACAGAATGGCTTATATTGAAAGGAACATTAAAGATTGTATACTTTCAACCCCATGACAGAAAAATTTCTTCACCCTCCAGTTCTCTGAAGTGAATTTCATGGCAAATCCATTGCCAGATGTTATCTGTTGCCAGCTCCTACTCTGGCTTTGCTTTCAATATTTTTTCCCACTATCATCCACTCATACAGTAACTTTACATTTGGCCACAGGCCTGTTTTCATTTTAACTGTAATTCTGACTCTGTTTTATTACTTTTCTGCACTTGGCGTTCATCTTCTAAATACGTCCCTCCTCCAGTTCAACTATAATTTCCTATAGCATTTCTTATTTTATTGATCATAATTCCTAGGGTTTGGTAAAACAGGTTTGAATATTAGACCCAAAGAGAAAGTTCCTGTTGGAAAGCGTCTCTCAGGAAAATATTAACAACATCCCAAACAGGGTTAAACTTGGAAAAAATGCAATTTTCTAAATGGAAAATTGATGCTGTTCCAAGAAACTGCTCAGGATCTATGTGTAGTCCTCAGCATTAAATTCCAAATGAAAGGTTAATAGTAACCTGAAAAATACTACCAAAAATAGGCATCTGCATTTGCTTTACCCTGTGCTGAATTTTGCTTTATTGTTCTTGGGGAATTAGTGAAATCACATCAGCAGCACCATGCAAAGCTGCAATGAGAAACTCTCTGACCTACACATGCTCCCTTTGAAGGACACCCTGCACAAAAAAGAAGCCCTTGTGCATGCACATGACGTCAAAGAGATGGTGCACTGGTCACAGCTCTGCCAGGGGGAGGAGAACACGACAGAATGTTTCCAGCATCCCATGCTCAAAACCCATCAATATGGGATTGATGGTGTGGGCCTGGCACCCTCGCACTCATCCTGTGCCAAGCTGCAGCTGAGATCTCCTGGCTCCCTTGGGGCACCCACACCTCCTGCCCTGCAGCCCTTCCCCAGCTCCCAGCCCACCAGGAGCTGGCTGAGCAATCTGCAGCAAGGTGTGTCCCACCCTGTGTCCCCTGCAGCCCCACTGCCCCCATCTCACACAATTCCTGTCTTCACTTTAAGTGGCACCAAGTGTCCCTCCGTGCCCAGCTCCCCAGGCCCAGTGCATGTAATGTCAGATGTCTCCAGACCTCTACATCTGAGCTAGACATCTCACAAGAGTTGACTGACACAGGCATTTCCAGGGAACAGATCCTCTGTCTTAAAATAAAAGCCTATTTCAGGGTATTTCTGAAACTCTACAAGTATTGTTTTCTTCTCCA